CCCGGGGGGGGGGGGGGAGTGGGCGCTCCCCTCGGCACAGACGGCGCCCGATATGCAAATGAGAGGCGGGGCCACGGCAGCAGGGGGGGGGGGGTTGCGGTTGCCAGACGGGCGAGCCTTGGGTTCATTACTATGCAAATGAGGGGCGTGGCTGAATGCCCCCCACCTCTTTCCTCGCCCTCTGCTGCTTCCTACCGCTAATTACCCGCTGCTGTCGGTGGAGGTGAGGGGTCAAGGAGACGTCGGCAGCCGCCTGGCCTCGTCCCCCCCCCCCCCCCCGTCACATCGGATCCCGGCCTTGTGCCCCCCCCCGCCACGGCTGGGAACGGCCCAGGTGCGGCTTTTGGCACAAGGGGAAGGGGGGACACCGTGTCCTTTTGCGGTGACATCTGGGTTCGCTCCCAGGCTTGGTGGTCCCGGGAGGGGGGGGGGGGGGGGGGGGGTTGGGGTAGGGGGGAGAAGGTCAGGCCTGTGCAGCTGGGTCCCTTCCCAGGAAGGACAGGGCGGCACGTGGAGTGGGAGCAGACACGTGGTGGTTTCCCGTCCTTCCCGCATCCTTGGGATCGGGTATAACTGGGCGCCGGTTGCGGGGGACGGCACGACGAGATGGCGGCGGTGCTGGCTGTGGTGCTGGCGGCGGTGCTGGCGGTGTGCGGGGCTGAGTGCCCGACCGCGGCCGATCTGAAGCCGGACAACGGCACGCAGCTCTGCGCTCAGCTCTACACCCAGAACAGCGTTTACTACGACGAATGCTGCGCCGGCAGTTCGCTCAGCGTGCTTCCAGATTCCGACGTCCCCTACATGCCCACGGGTTGGTCCGGCAAAGTCTCCTCGTTGGTGGTGGGAAAGCGTTGCGAGCTGAAGGTCTGGTCCAAGGCTGGGAAGACAGGCACCAAAAAGACGTTTTCGGCAGGCTCTTTCCCGAGGCTGCAGGAGGTGCGAAGGGGGCTCTTCCTGAACTGGAATAATGCCATCAGGTCCTACTACTGTAAGTGCAGCTGAGCAGGGCACAGGGCCGCTCGGGGCTGCTCCACGCAGCGTGGGGTCAACGTGGGGTAGAACCAGTCAATGTGGGTCAACACCAGTCAACGTAGGTCAACATGCACCAACATGGGGTAACATCAGTCAACGTGGGGCAGAACCACTCAGCGTGGGTCAACACCAGTCAACGTAGGTCAACATACACCAACATGGGGTAACATCAGTCAACGTGGGTCAACGTGGGGCAGAACCACTCAGCGTGGGTCAACACCACTCAGCGTGGGTCAACACCAGTCAACGTGCACCAAGATGGGGTAACATCAGTCAACGTGGGGCAGAACCAGTCAACATGGGTCAACACCACTCAGCGTGGGTCAACACCAGTCAACGTGCACCAAGATGGGGTAACATCAGTCAACGTGGGTCAATGAAAGGCAGAACCACTCAATGTGGGTCAACACCACTCAGCCTGGGTCAACACCAGTCAACGTGCACCAAGATGGGGTAACATCAGTCAACGTGGGTCAATGAAAGGCAGAACCACTCAACGTGGGTCAACACCACTCAGCGTGGGTCAACACCAGTCAACGTGCACCAACATGGGGTGAAACAGTCAGTGTAGACCAACACAGGGCGGCGTTCATCAATGTGGATCGACACCAGTCAATGTGGGTCAACGTGCACCAAGATGGGGTGAACCAGGCAACAAGGGTCCACGCCGGGCCACGCTCGTAACAGCATTCGATGCGAGTCAACCCTCATCAACCTGGATCAACGCAAGTGAGCGCAGCTCAACGCAGGCTGTGGGTTGTTGGCGTGGCTCCACGGCACCAGCAGCTCGTTGGTCCTCCTGCAGCCCAGCACGTCACGCTGAGAGGATGCGGGTCACCACCAGCCATCGCACGCCCAAGTGGGCCCACGTGGGCCAACGCAAGGCCCTGCGGAGCGACGCGAGCCAACGCGTCCACAGGATCAGAATCGGCCCCTGCCTGACCCCACGGACCACAAACAGGTCAGCAGTGAGAGGTGGGCACATGAGCTGTGCCAGCCCCCCACCTCTCCCCCAGCCCCTGACCCCACACAGCTCTGAGCGTAGCCAATAAAGCCTTGAGGATGTGCAGCTCCTGCCTTGCCGCTGCTTTATTTGGGGGAGACGAGGCAGAGGCAGCGGCAGCTTTAGGCTGACCTCGGGCAGGTCCCCATAGCCCCCATAGCCCCCATACCCACCACCCCACGGCGCCTCCACCACCCTGCCCAAAAACCACAGTGGGACACGGCGCTCTCCAAAAGGACACGTGTAATCTCCAGGGGGCCCCATAGCAACCCTGGGGCACTCCAGCGCTGTGGCGTTACAAAACGACAATATAAATAGCTTTGTTTAAAAAACAAAACAGAAACAAACAGGGGGAAAAAAAAAAAAAAGTGTTGGGAGGAGGGGGGGGGGGGGGGGGGCCCCCCGGACCAGTAGTGTGGCCGTGGGGCTGTAGTGTTGGGGTTGGGGGGGAACTGGACACGGCTCTCCTGCAGGGCACAGGGCCAGAAAAGGATAGAAAAAGATTGAAGAGGGGAAAACAAAACAAAAAATGGGGGGGGGGGGGGGGAAATATGGGGACTGAGTTGAGATGGCCCAAAGGGATCCCAGGGTGGCCGTAACAGCAGATCCCGAGCAGTCAGGATAAAGCCCCGGTCCCCAAGCCTCTGCAGGGAAGGATCGGGGACAGGGCCGGTGCCATCGCGCGGCCGCACCGCCGTCCCCTGCCAGCTCCTGACTCAGTAGTACGGCGTGGGGGGGCCAGGACCCCCCCAGTGCCCCCACAGTAGCGGCACAGTCACAAATCCAGTTAAGAGGCGACGGCGAGGACGGCGGCGGGGCTCCTCACCGCATGCGGTTCTGGCGCATGAGGGGCACGATGCAGGAGGGGGGGCCCGCCTTGCCCAGGAAGGGGTGCTTCAAGAGTTCGTTGGCCGTGGCCCGCTGCACCGGGTCCCGCACCAGCATGCGGTCCAGGAAGCCCTTGAGAGAGGGGGAGACCTGAGGGGCAGAGCGGACAGGAGGGGGGGAAATCAGGGGGGGGGGGGCGCCGCGCGCGGCCCCCCCCCCGCCGCCCCCCCACCCCCCCCCCCCCCTTTACCTTGTGCACGTTTTTCAGTTTGGGGGGCAGATTGTCTCGGATCATTTTCATGGCCTTTAACGGCGGCTCGTTAAAATACGGCGGCTCCCCATCGACCATCTCGATCACCATCACACCCAGGGACCAGATATCCACCTGCACAGGGGAGGAGGGACGTTTGTGGGGCTCGTGGGTGGGCTGACACCCCCCCCCCCCCCCCTCCCTGCACCCCTAGAGCCCCCCTGCGCCGCAGGCTCACCTCTGGGCCGTAGGGCAAGCGAGAGATGAGCTCCGGTGCCATCCAATATGGGGTCCCCACCAGCGACTTCCGCCGCGGCACCTCCTTGTTCACTTGGGCACAAAACCCAAAATCAGAGAGTTTCACCTGGAGGCCGGAGAAGGCGGCTCGTGAGAACGCTGTGCTGCCCCCAGCACCAGGCAGGGATGCTCCGTTCTCAGCGCTGCCTTCCGGGATCAACCCTGTCCCGGCAGCTTCTTCAGGTCGCCTCACAACCCCTCTGCTTCTCGCAGAGCATCAGGCTGTAGATCCATCTCAAAGAGCCTCAAAGCCTCTAAAAGCTTCTCTGGCTCCCGTGTGATCAGAAACATGAAGCACAGAGTGGTTGGAAAGGATCCCAAAGATCACAGAAGCAAGGAATCCTGGAAGGGTTGGGTTGCGAGGGATCCCAAAGCACCCCCAGCCCCAAACCGTGCTGCGAGCTGCACGCTTCCTAGGAGCTCAGGCTGCCCAGGGCCCCATCCCTGCCTCGGGCACCCAGAGGGATGGAGCACCCACAGCTTCTCTGGGCAGCTGTGCCTCAGCCTCACCACACTGATTAAAAGGTTTCCTCCTACCGATTTCTAACCCAATTTCTCCTCTTTCAGTTTAAAACCACTCCCCTGGTCCTGTTAGACCACGTAAGAAGTCGATCCGCCTCCGACCACAGTGCCTTCGGTGTTTGTGTCGCTGGTGTTTCCTGGTGGTGTTTTGGCACCTCCAGGAAACTGAGGGAACTCCAGAGAAAGATTTGGGGGCTCAGAGCGGCCTCTGGTTGAGGCTCAAAGCCCAGCACTTGGGGCGCCCTGAGGAGGCACGGTGCTGCACATGTGCCAAACTTAATATAAGAGCCCCTCCGACGGCGTTTGCCACCCGGCTGATCCCATGCAGACTTCCTGATGAGACCCTGACGAGGTCAGGGCAGGGGAGCAGCAGTTGCAGAGGGGCCACACCGTGGCAGTGCCACTTACTCTGCCGTCGTGCGTCAGCAGGATGGAGTCACTCTTGATGTCGCGGTGGATGACGCCCTGCGTGTGCAGCACAGACAAGGCCTTCAGCACGGCCAGGCAGACAGCTGCGATCTGCTCCTCATTCATCCTGCAGGAGGCAGAGGGTCAGGGGGGGGCGGCCAGGGGGCCGAGAGGGGCTGGGGGGCCCAGGCACGTACCGGGTGTGCGTCACGATGTCGGTCAGCGCGCCGCCCTCCAGGAACTCCATCACCACCCACAGCTCGTCGCCCACCAGGTAGCTGTTGTACATCTCCACCACGTTCTCGTGCTGGTAGTCCCGCATGATCACCACCTGTGGGCAGAGCGGGGTGAGCTCGGCGGTGCCCATCTCACAGGGCTGGGTTTGGTGGGGTGGGCAAAGGGGCTCGTGGATGGGCAGAGGTAATCGGCCCTTCTCCGCAACAGAGAGAAGAGCCATGGGGAGAAACAAAGCTCCCGGTGCAAAACCCCACGAGCGGCAGCCCCAGCTCCCAGTCCCAAAGCAGCTGTATCTGACACCCATAGGCACCCCAGGGCTCCGCTGCCTGTACCTCATTGAAGAGCAGCTCGCGCCGCTGCTGCTTGCGCAGGTCCATCTTCTTGACAGCCACCAGCTTGCCGCTGCTCTTCACCGTGGCGATGCAAACGATGCCGGTGGATCCCTCCCCTATTTTGATGAAGTTGTCCAGATAGGTGCGTGGGTCTCCCGGATCCACCACCATCTGCAGAGCTGCCCGGAATTGTTCGTGGGAGACGCGTTGGGGCTCTCGCTGGGGTGAGCGGGGCTGCTGGGGGCCGACAGCAGGGGGTGGGGGGCCGGGCTGTGGAGGACGGGCCAGGTGGGGTTCGGAGGCGTGTGGGGTGAGGCCAGCGGGGGGCTCAGGGACCTTGGAGCGGGGTGGGCCGGGGGGCTGGGCTCGGGAGGAGCCGGCGGCGCTGCTTGCTGGCCCGTTGGGTGCTGCCTCCTGAGGCCGGCCCGGCCGGGGTTCAGCCTGCAAAAAAGAGAAGAGGGCCGTCAGAGCCACGAGGGATGGTGCGGAACGTTGCTGCTGGCCCCAAAGCACCGCCGACGGCGCCGCATCCAGGCCTTAGCGGAGCTGGACGGCGTCGGAGGAACGAATTGCACCAGATGGGTTTGAAGGAGCAGGGACAGCGAGGAATGGGGATAGATGACCACAGGCGGCCGCTTCGGAGACCAGAGAGGAAAGAGGAGAGCGCGAGGAGCCGTGGCACAGCCCCGGGGAGGAAAGCACAGAACAGACGCAGCCCCCGCAGTGCCGTGGTCTTCAACACAGTCGTAAGTGAAGCGAAGAAGGCCGTTCAGCTGGCGCTGGCTTAGGAAGCGGAGCAGAGAGGCTGCTGTTGTAGGAGGCGGAGGCCAGGCAGAGTGAGGAGAGCCCCCCGAGGCTCGGGGGAAGGAGAGATCTCTGCTAAGCGGAGCGGCTCAGAGCGGGGGGAGCAGAGGAGCCTTTACCTGTGCACCTGCGCCCCGGACGGGGTCGGTCTCAGCCCGTGGGTAGGTATTAAAGGGTCGTCCCGTCTGCTGGGCAGTCTTCATCACCCCTTCGGACACGGGGATGTTGGGAGTCCGGATATTGGGCCCGGAGAGCGGGCGTTTGTCACGGGGGGACTGAGGGCTGCTGCCGTTGCCGTAGGTGGATTTGGGCCGCTTGTCGCAGGGCTCGGCGCGCTCCCGTCGCACCACGCGCTCGTCCCGCTCGCCGCAGTCCCTGTCGGCGGGGCCGTCCCGTTCAGGGGGGGGCTTGGGGTACTCGGGAGGGGGTGGGCGACCGCCGGTTCTGGGGCCGGGCTCCTGGCCTCGGGGCCGCTGCGGGTCCCGCTCGCGGGGTCGCTCCTTGCCCCGGTCCGGCTCGCCACGGGGTGCGGGGCAGCTCTTGTCCTTGCTGCGGCCAAAATCCTCGGTAAGGCCGTTCTCCTGGCAGAGCTGGTCACGCCGGGGTGGGAAAGGGGGGCTGTCCCTGCGCAGAGAATTGGAACGGGACACGGACATGTTCTCAAATTCATCCAGCAGCCAGGTCAGCGAGCCGTCCTTGGCGGCTTTGGTGCCCCGTACGATGGTCTTTGTGCAGGACGAGAGGTAGACAGGAACACGGAACACGAAACAGAACGAAAAGAAACAAACAAACAAACAAACAAAAAATGAAAGAAAATAAAACAAAAATAAAAATGAAATGCCTGGTGGTGACGGGGGCAGGGGGCGGCTCACACAGACGGGACGAGGGGAGGGATGGGATCTCCGCTGACACACGACGAACAGAGCACCGTTAATAGGAGGTGGCCCACGGGATCCGCACACAGACGGGGATGCTGGAGGCCAGGAAGAAGGCAGCTCCGGTGTCCCCACAGCCTCAGGGGTTTGCCCACGCTGTCCTGAGCCCCTCCAGGAGGTAGGAAACAGAGCGGGAATCAGACCCAGCTGTCTCTCTCCTCCCATACGGGCCAATGCCAGGCTGAGCCCCGTCAGAGGGGATTCGTGGGGAAGGGTCCTGGGGGGCTGCTGTGAGTTCTGGCTCTGCCTTGAGGCACCTGGTCAGGACCCGGAGCGCAGGGGGCTTTGTTTGGGCTACAGCCATGATCATCAGAAACCACGCAGCGGCAGCAGATTTCACTCCCAGCAGAAGCCTGGCTGGGGGCCAACACAGCAAAACTCCTGCTGGGGCCCCGCTCCTCTGCTATCACAGCCGAGCTCTGCTACCAGCTAGAGGGGAGGCAGAAGGGTATTAAAAGAGAGTTACTGCGCTGCCTGGGCTTTGCATCATCTCCAAGGTCTCCAGGAAGGATGCGCCAATCTTTTCTCTGCGGAATCCCAGAATGGCCGGGGTAGGAAGGGACCTCAAGGGTCACGAAGCTCCAACCCCCCGCCACACGCAGGGCCACCAACCTCCACGTTTAATGCCAGCCTAGGCTGCCCAGGGCCCCATCCAACCTGATCTTGAACACCTCCAGGGATGGACGGGGCATCACAGCCTCTGGGCAGCTGTTCAGCACCTCACTGCTCTCATAGCAAAGAACTCCACGATTCCATGCTGCTCAGCAGCACCACAGCCCGCCCACCGCACTGCATGTTTGCAAGCCCTTCTCCTTCTGGAAGCCATCAGCTCCTCAGCCCAAACAAGGCTTCACTGCCCATCCCCTCCTCTGGCTGGTGCTGATTTTTGGGCTCGGCCTGAGTGAGACTGAGCAAAGGGGATTGCTGCCAGGATCATCCGCAAAGCAGAAGCCCTCGCGCGGACAGCACCGTGCCCTAACTCTCCTCCTGCAGTTCAAGCCATCAGGATTTCTTCCTGACTCCTGCCAAAGTCCATCTCACCCAAGCGGGGGGCACAGGATGGCCCCAACAGGGTCGGTGCCTTTTCTGATCACCGACAGAGAGCAGCCAGGCAGAGCAGAAGGGAGCAGAGTCAGGGACCTAGGGAGGGCGAAGGCAGAGGAACACCAGAGGCGGCGTGGGTTTCCTCAACCGAGGCAAGCAGACGAGCCAGACTTAAAATGATGACATAAGGGTGGTTTGGGGAAACAGGCAAAGGGAGAGGATGGGGTGGGAAGGGACGGGCACAGCTCTGGTCATGTTTTCCCCTGGCATGTTTTTTTGCCAGCGTTCAGCAGAACGCAATGGGGTGAGGAAGGGGAGAAGCTTTGCTCTGCACTTATCTTCCTCCCACGTGGGCAGGAGGGGGTACACGAAAAAGCAGTAGGTTGTGGAGCACGCTGAAAGGCTTCAGGAACCTAACGGCCAGCTTACCTGCTCCGTGGCAGCCCTGGGAGGGGGCACAAACACCTCCCAAAACGGCTCCATCACCCCTCAGCCCTCAACCGCTCCCCTCAGCACGTCGCAGAGCCGCTTACCTTCTGTGAGCCGTGCTGGATGGCTGTGATACACACGGGGTCCACCAGGGGCTTGGGCCTCTTGGCGGACTCCTCGATGATGCCCTGCCATTGCCGCGGCAGCCCTGTGAACTTCTGCTCCTGCTGGTCGTAGCCGGTGTGGACGCGGTGCTCGAAGTTGGAGGGCGCCGAGATCTCAATGCGTTTCTTCTTCTTGCTGAACATGGTTGGAGCGCTTAGCAGACCTGAGGGGACAGAGGGAGGGCACAGTGAGGTGTGGACGAGGACGGAGGTGGCGAGGGCTGTAAAACAAGCATCCCTTCTTCAGGAACTGACCGCGCTCTCCGGGGAAAGCATCGCTTGCCAAGAAGGAAACACCTCGATCCGGCCCAGCCCTCACACCGGGTGCGCTGCTCCCTTTGTCAGCTGCTCATCCCCCATTTTGGCTGTTGGTTTTTATTTCAAGCTGCATTTGGGCTCTAGACTAAAAGCCTTGAGGAGCTTTCCCTGCTCACAGCCTCAGCCCGCTCTGTCTCTACCTGTAAGTGATGCAATGGCACAGCAGCAATGGTAACCGGGGCGGTCGAGGGCTCCGTACAGCACAGAAGAAATGCTGGCCTCAGCCTCAGCCCACGTCCCTCTGTCCCTGTGTGCCCAGACGACGGACTCGGCTCCTCCTCCCACTGCCAGCACTGTGATGATGCAAGCTGAGGGCTGCCGTCCTGTGCTGAGCTGAGGAGCATTGGTTTGGCCACACCTGACTTCCTGCCTGTGGCAATCCTGTGCAGCTTGCACCTGGGCCGCTCCGCATCCAGGACATCATTTGCCTCCTGAGCCCCGCTCTTGCAGGCACGTTGCTGCAGTTGCAGCGCCTTCCCTCCTCTCCCTTTGCTCAGCCAGCTTTGATGCAAGGCTTCCGAATTTAAAATCACAGCAGAAGCCTCCCACAATTACACAGGCTGGAGTCTTCTCCAGACCTCAAAGTGCAAAGCGAGGAGCAGCCTGGCAGCAAGCGTGAGCCCAGGCAGCCCTGTGACACCCAGGCAACGGCCACGAGCCCCTGAGCTGCCCCACGTTACCAATTGCTCACCAGGATCCTGCCCTCTTCCACTCTCCAGCGGTGAGGAATAGCAGACAATCTGTGCCCTGATGCTCCCCAAACTGGAGCAGCTCTCTGCCCATCCCACGGGCACGGAGCCCAGGGCACAACGTGGAGCTCCAAGAAGGGGCAAGCCTGAGCAAAGCCAGGGCTCAAGGCTCACCCTGGCCACCAGCCCGTGGCCTTGGCCAGCTTCCCTGGCTTTACTCTGCCCACACACACGAGCTTTCACCCTTCCTGTGTCGGGGCTTTGCAGGCTGCAAAACTGGTGCTGCTTCTTGGAGGCACTGCAGCCACAGAGCCATCCAGAACTGCAGCCGTGAGCAGGGCAGGTTCTCCAGGCAGCATTTCAGGAGCTGGAAAAGCTTCTGAGTGAAACAGGTTGGCCTGCAAAGAGCTGGGCATGCAGGTGTGCTGTCCTAGCAGGAAAACACTGTTCGCTCAGGCATTTAAACATCTACCAAGGCTGCTGAAACCAAGCTTAGCAATGTGACCGGCGTGGTACCAAACTCAAGGCCTGACAGTTGCATGGCTTTCCTCCGCAGAGCTGTGCCCAGAAAAGAGACCAAGCAGCCACCACTCAGCTACAGTCTGTGCTGCTCACAGATCTCAGCACTCCTTCATCTCAGTGGTGAACACTGCAGGGAGAGCTTCTTTCGATTTGATTTTCAAAAACCATCGGCAAAAGCAAGAGAACTCCAAGAAGTGCTGCTCATTCCTGGCACAGCAGTTCTGATGGAGACCAGCCACAGCCGAATGCATTTCATGGTATCCTGGGGTGAAGACGGCCACGAGGAGGAGCCCAGAAATTGTATGGTTGGTGCAGAAAGCTGTGGCTGGGGGATGGGGGGGGGATCCTTCCAGCTGAGCTCAACGCTCAGGGATCCCCCCAGATTCAGAGCTGCGCTCCTGTGGCTCTGCAGCCACAGCTCCGAGCTGAGCGCTGCTGACATGGCACAGACGGGACAAGGAGCAGACGGACCAGCAGCAATTGGAGGTGGACTCATCCCACGGTACGTGGTAGGAATGTGTTTGAAGGTCAAGAAATGCTTGTGCCCTCAGCAGCACCGCGGAATGCAGCGCAAATAGCTCCTCAGAAACCAAGGCCGCGCAGTGGCGATGGATGGAGGAGCGCCCACCAAACCCCGTGGCTGCCTCTGGGCTCAGGGGGGTCCAGCAGCTGCCCCCGAAGGCCTGGGGGAGATCATAGAACCACAAGGTTGGAAACGATGAGCACCTGCGTGGGGCAGCAGGGCCCCAGCCCCAAGGCAAGCACAGAACAAAGCTGCAGAGGAAGCCTGGCCCCAAGGCGGACCCCAGAGCCGTTTCTCCTGGTGTAAACACCACAGCTTTGCACAATGGGGGCTTGTTTACACCAGCGGAACGCCCGCATCCTTCCAGGCTCTGAGGTACAACGTTGATGCTGCTCAGTAGGAGCTCAGAGTCCTGGCAAACCTTTCCCAAAATCAACAGCTCTACGGAGAGCCGCAGCAGGGCACGCACTGAAGTTGATGCGAGCTCAGCCCTGATCACAGCTGTGCTCCAGCTCCTCCAGAGCTCAGCCTGAGGGAACAAGGACAGCGTGACCAGCAGCACTGGTGCCCTCATCACCTGATATTGGACCGTACTGAGCACGGATACAGGATGCTCAGAGCAAGTCCTCGGTGCCAAGTGCAGCACAAGACCTAAGTCAGGGGAGAAAACCCTACCAGGTTTTCTCTATTCCTTTGCTGTGCGCTCGGTGGCATGCTCTGCCTGGCTGCTGGCCTCTCCTGCTTACACCGACTCTGCAAAGAGGAACAGGACAAGATTGGACCCACCAGACCACTGTGAAAACACCACAGAGAGCCAAGGGGAAAGGATGGACACTCAGACTGCTGCTAATGCAGCCCTCAAACTGCCAACGGCCTTAAACTCTGCGTTTTCCCTGGATGCAGCTCACAGCACCAGCCAGAGCCAAACACCAGGACAAGTGTCCCAGCACCGTAAAGCCAGCCCCGATTTGCTTGTTTTCCTTCAATCCAGGCCGTGATCCCCAGCACCCGGAGCACAGCCACATCCTCGTGCAGCTCAAAGCTCTGCAGTGCAGTGCAAGGAGCAAAGCCCCACGTGGCTGCGCTGTCCTCGCACCTCCAGCACCGAGCACAGGGACGGGCAAAGGGCTCCCAGCCAGGCGCTGCTGGTGGAAGCTGAGGGCAGCTCCTACTGCTGGGCTGCAGCTTCTTGCTGCCAGGATCTGCTGCTGGGATCGGCTGGCAGCGCATCCCGACGCTGCACTTGGATGCTCTGGGCTTCCCCAAAACCACACCAGCGCAGAGGTCGGCATTTTCACTGTAGAAACAATTTGGGTTTCAGCACATTGAGAGGAAAAAGCGCTCAGAAGATCCAGGAAAGGCGAGGAGGGACAGGAGGGTCTGGTGAGCACCAGCTGCTTTGCAGGGACGAACCAGCAGAGTGCATCTCCCACATCCAGCCCTGCCATCTCAGCGGAGGAAAAACCAGTTCTGTTTGTTTGTCAGTCAGAGCTGAAGGAAGAACCCTCCCCTCCCACGAAGGATCTGGACACGGAGGCAGCAGAATCAAACAAACACAGGCAGCCTCAGCATTTCAGGCCACGCTTTGTTTGTTTAACCCTCTGCTCTCTCAAGCTGTGGCAGCAATGCCATCCCACGCTGATCCAACCCGTCCTGCCAGCGCGGCCGGCTCTGATTTCAGTCCCCTCTACTGCTTTCATTGCCTTCTGGTACGATTGTGGCCTTTTCCTCCCATTTCAGTCTCCCGATTCAGCTTCCTTCACACCGCTCGGTGCAAAATTAGTGGCTCCAAAGCCAATCTCTTCCTGCAGGCAGGAAATCCCAGCCCCGGCCACCCGCCTCGCTGCAGCACCGCACCAACACTCCCTTCCTCGCTCAGTCTGAGCTTCTCCTTCCCAGATCCTGCTCCTATAAAATCCTAATAACTCCCCCTGCACCTGGGGAAGGGGAAAGCCTTCACCCCAGCCCATTCTTGCATAAATTGGGGTATTTGTGCCCTCCTCCATCCAGCATTTCGCTCCTCCATAGGCCGCTGTGAGCCGACGCAGCCGCGCTCCACGTATTTGCCAGCGCCACGGGGCCAGATCCTGAACCACGCCAAGCATTCCTCAGGGGCAGGCAGCTGGGTGTGAGCTGCGCTGCAAACAAACCTCCCTGTCAGGCTGTTCTCATTACCTTGATGAAGTTTTATCCCAGCAGGCGAGGCCGATCGAAGCTCGAATGGCCGCACGCAGCTTCAGCCCAGATTGCTGGGTGGGGGAAACTTCACCCCACAGGCATTGCTGGCTGCAGCCATCCAGGCTGTGTGTGTGTGCGCCTGCTTCGCTCTGCTTCCTGCTTGCTGCCACCTGCATGCATCACGCTGCCTTTCTGCAGAAGTCCCATCGATCCTCGGAGCACCTGCTCCAAAATTCCACCCTGGAAAACTTCCTGAGCGCTCCTTCCCTATGGAAGCCCCCCATGGAGGAACCCTGTGTGGCACCACGGGGAGAGGTGCCACGTCTGGATGATATGGAGGCAAAGGGCGCCTCTCAGGGTGGTCGTTGCCAGGCTGCAGGCAGAGGGAAAGTGAACACAGTGGGACTCAGCTACTGATCGCAACCAACCTCCAAGCTGAGCCTGGTGTCACTGAACTCTTTCTGGATTGGCAGCAGAACAGAAACACAAAGAGGCACGGCTGGAGGACCCTCGCTGTCACCCCCACCCCTCAGTCCAACGCATCAGCAGCGTTTCGGCCGGCCACGGCGAAGGGAAAGGGTTAAAAATCCACCCCTCTGCCTCTCCTGGAGCTCTGCACATTCCTCAGCCCTGTCCAAACCCAGGTCACATTCCCTTTATCTCAGCTTTGTTTAATTAGTCAGCCATTAACGAACGCTTCTGGCAGCCAGGAGTAAACTAAAATAGAGCAGAATATTCCCCACTGCTGGCAAGCTCCCCAGCCTTACGCTATCAGGGCTTGGGAGCTCACTCTTACCTTTCAGAAGTGAAAAAACAGTGACAGAAAGATTGAGGAGGAGCCCACAAGCACCCATTTCCCCCAAGCATTCCGTGTCTGTGCAGGGAGTTGGTGCAGGACTCTGTGCACCACAAGCATCAGGGAGAGCCTCAGGTTGGGCACAGCTCCGCTGCCCAGATCTGCTCTGAGCTGCTCCAAACGGACCTCAGTTAAACGGAGACCGAATGGGAAAGGAGCACAACAAACCTCACAGCCCTGACTGCCCCACAGGGATGCTTTAAGGGGGCTCAAGGGGTCCCTGGACGCGCGGTGCAGGGACCCAGGGACACCCCACCACCCTGCGCTTCCCATGGGGTCGCCGTGCTCCCCCTTTTGTAAAGTCCAATTCCAGAGCAGCGCAGATGTGAGTCTCAGCTTCACCCCCACCTCGGTCCCAGAGGAATCGCTCCCTTTTTCTTACGGGCTCAAACCAAGCAGCCTCAGGCTCTGCCTCCCATACAAACACCGCCAACCCGCTCGCATCAGCCAGAACTGAGCTTGCCGCCTCCAAAAGCCAGCTCAGCAGATTGGAGGGCAAACAACCTGCTCCACTGCAAGGTGGAGAGTGGTGCCCCATTGCTCTGCACGTTTCCAGTACAGTCAGCCTCGCCCGGGCTTGAAAAGCAAAGAAACTTCCTCCGAGCAGCCTCCCCTCACTGCTCACCCCCTGCCAAACCCTGCCTGAAACTCATTAACAAAATATATCAGCCAAGACTCCGCATTACTCACCATCACCACCCTGCTTCCTGCAAGCCAGAGGGGGAAGAAGGAAGGAAAACTGCTGCAGAAAGAACTCTGAGTGGGGCAGGAGGGCGCAGGGCTGAGGAACAGCAGCACAGAACGGGGGTTTGGGGGCCAGCAGCCACAGCTGTGCTCCCGACTCCGCAAACTTCGCAGCGCCTCTGGAGCCAGGCAGGACTGGGACATCCTGAGCCCTGCAGATGGGCTCTCACCGTCCCCCCCTTCTTGCCTGCTGGAAGTGGGTTTGTGCTGGCATGGGGACAGACCAGCTTTGCTCCCCTGCATCCTCAGCACGAGCAGCGCACGGACAGGCAGGGAAGCAGGGGGTGAAGCCGTGCCAAGCCCCGCGCCGCTTCCTGGTGCCGTGAGCCTTGCTCCAAGGAGAGCCACCCAGAGAACGGGTTCCTCCCAGCTCCACACCACCTCCCTGCAGGCGCCCACCTCCGCGCCGTGCTGCCGTTACCATTTCCCAGGGCTGGAAGTGGCTCCGGCTGCGCTCACCCACGCTGCGAGGATCCGTTGGCAAGCGAAGAGGGAGGGAAGGAGGAGAGGAGCTGTGATCAGCAGCTGCTGAGGCTCGCAGGGGTTAACAGCGAAGCTTGTAAGAAGTGGAGCAGGAATAGAGGAGATTTGAGCCGGGAGCCAATGAGGCAGCAACATTTGAAACAAAGCAGCCAGTCAAAGTGCTCCGGCCGTGGAAACAGGGAAGGACGGAGAGGGGAAGGTGGGAAACCCGCGGCCTTTCCGGCGAGTCTCTGCTCATGTGGGTGTTCCTTACGCCACCTCCAGGTCCCTCAGCCACCCTGAGAGCAGGGGCTGGATGTGGCCAGAAGCGCTGACTCCTCTCCTGGCAAGCTCAGCTGGCAGTAAGAGCTCTGGCTCAGGAACAGCAGCCCCAAAACCTGCTGGGGGGACACCAGGACGCTCACCAGGGCTCTCCAAGGGCTGTAAGCCTCTCCTGAGGGTGAGGATCACGGCTCAAAGCTCTGCCTCTTCATCTGTTTTCCACGCAGACGAGCAGCGTGCTGCTTGCTAAGGAGAAGCAGCGTGAGCTGTGTGATCCCATGGGGTGGGCAGAAGGAACTGAGCAGCCCCCGGTGTGAGGATCTCCAGCTGGAACTCACGGCTCTGATGTGAGGGTGCACGTTTCCGTTCTCTCCTCTCTGATTTTGCTCAGAGGAAACACTCTCGAATTGGCCCAATTAGTTGGCACGTCTTGCAAATGAACTTCTCGCCCCCAGCAGCCCCCATGGGCAATTGGCCCAACTCAGGGGCAGCACGGAGTGAAGGCAGCAGGTGGTGAGTGGGACAGGGAAAGCAAACCAGGGCAGCTGCGAGCCCTGCTGCATCCAGCACAGCCCAACAGCATCTCCAAGAGGTCCCTGCAGCTCCATTCTTATTTAAATGCCTTTTACAAGCAGGGAGGGGGAAACACGCAAGAAAAAAGCAGCGTTGTGAATGTTAATCACCTAGCAGCTTACAACTAGATTGCTCACTTCCCATTCGTCCTCATTTTCCTCTTCCTTGTTCTTTTGCAGAGCGTTTGGGGACCAAAATATCTACAGCAGCCTCGCTATGCTGCTAAGCAGCACTGGGAATCATGAGAGAAAGAGGTGGAAAAAAAGGACGGGCAGATGAGAGCAAACCTCCGCCAGCGTCGCCTCCCACGTCGTCCCGGCGCCTGCAGCACCCAGGTGGCATCGCCCATGGTGCTGGCATCGCCCACCAGGGGTCCCCGAGCCCTCATGAAGCAAACGAGGCTGCGTTACAGCATTCACAGCTTTCTTATCTTTCAGGGAAGGAGGAAAGAGCAGCGGAGAGCTGGGCAGAAACGCTGATGTGGGGACGAGCTGGAGCTGCTGCGTCTCTTCCCCGTCTAAGGGGCAAAACTCATCTGCCCTCCTGGCAAGTTGTTTCCCTGGTGCAGAACAAGCAGCAGCTCCAACACCTCCCATTTCCAGCCGTCAAAAGCTGCTGTGACTACAGAAATCCACCAGCTGTTCTGCTCGGCTGCCAAGAGCACAAAGAGCCCCCAGCAGCAATTTTAGAGGCTTGTGAAACGGCGCTCATTAATTCACAGGAAGATAAAAGCGCATCAAAGGAAGTTTCTACCCCCGTATCTTTCGGGGTTTGAACAAAATTAGCAGAAGCACATCCTGCCAGCCCTCGCCTCGCAGACAAACCCAGCGTGGCCTCAGTCCCCACGCAGCTGCACCCAGAGAGCAGCTCGGAGGACCTCAGCCCCACCACTGACGTCCTGCCGCTCTGCTGCACGCGGCCCAGCTTCAAAACGCAAAGGGACACCGGCTCTCCAAGCCTTCCCCCCCCCCCCCCCCAAGACTGCGTAATGCAAGGCTGCAGGCTCAGCTATTGCATTTGATTTGGCAGTAAAGATCTCACGTGGTTTCAGGCTGTGGGAGCCACAGCTCCGAGCTCACACACGCCCTGACTGCAGCCCAGCAGTGCAACCAGAAGGGATCCCAGCCCCGGGGCTCCGTCCCAGCCACGCTGTGGAAGTGGAAAGGGCATTTTCTTGACATCGCCGTGCCCTCCGCGGTTGGGATGCGAGCCCTGCGTTGCTGGAGCAATGGAAGCAGGCATACATCTGAGTGGAAGTGGGGCAGAGGAGCCGTCCCAGAGCCACAGGACGTCATCCATCAGGAGTTTGTCACGCTGAGAGTGGCACGGCGCAACGCTCACCGCAGCACTGCTGCGCTCAGCCTGCCAGCAGGGTGGTAGAACTGGCCAGGCTGGCTTTGCACAACCTTCAAAGAGCAGAGAGATGCCACGCTGCCAGGCTGGGCAGGGCCACGTGGAGCCAGCGGGTTGAGGAACCCCGGGAGGATCCAAACAGAGTCCTCAGGCAGGAAAGAAGTCCAAAAGGAGCGCAGAACTGTGGGGTGGACCCAGCTGAAGGATGGGATGCCGTTCAGCAGGGCCAGGAGAAGCTCATGAGGTCCAACAGAGCCACGTGCATCGCTGCACACCAATCGTTCTCCCACCAGCAGACGATCCCTCAACCTGCAGAAACGCCCTGAGCCTCCGTGCTGCACTGCTGGGGTGCCCCAAAGACACCGGTTTGGGTCCAGCCACCCCAAATTGCAGTGAGCTGACCTGCCGCCTGGCCTCTGCCAAGCTCTTCCAGAAAGTTCAGGCTTGAGAGTGAGAAATTCACTTCAATTTTCCCTTTTTCTGCCCACGCAGCAGCCTGCGGGGTTGCCCAGCGATGACTCAGTGCTGAAGGGCTTAACGCAGGTTGCTGGGGATCTATTCCTGGTTCTCCTCCTGCTCTGCTTTGTGAGGAGGAGCGTCACCCCGGCACACGGGAGTCTGCTTTAACAGAGCAGCGCAACGCTGGCTTCGATCTGAGACCTTCAGAGGAAAAGTGCTGGAGAGTCACGGCATCACAGCGCGGCGTGGGTTGGACGTGAGCTAAAGGATCACGGCGGAAAGGATTGGAGTCCTTCACACTCAAAAAAAACCCAAAACCAGCGAGAAGAAGAAGAAACAACAGGGGAATGGATCTGAGATGCTCAGCACGTTCTGCACAAAGCCTGTCCCCTTGTCCCCACGGCTCCAGGGCGCAGCGTGGCCGCTGGCTGCCCAGGAGCATTTCTCAGCCTCATCCCCGTGGGATGACGTCTCATGCACAAGGGCTGCTCCCCCCGGCTCCCACAGACACCGTTTGTGCCTTGAAGCCTGAGCTCCAATTACCCTTATCTCGGTTTCCAGAGACACAACCAGGAGCACCGCAGACCCCATTTCTCCCTTTGGTGCAAAATGACCGCATAGATGGCATCTCAGCTGACTGCAGGGCTCCCTCAGCGTCCTCGAGTGCAGGCAGAGAGATGCTGGCCTCCTGCACGCCTCTCCCTGAGCGAGAGGCTGCTTCACTACTCCTCCCTCATTCTGTCTCCCACTGGGAGCTCAATGGTGTCAGATGAAGCGCTGTGGGAAGGGCGAGAGGATGGCAGCCCGGGGCAGCAGAAAGCAGTCATGCAGAAAGCGGAGGCGAGCGGTGAGCGCGCAGCACTGGGGGCACGCAGAGCCCCTTGCAGGCAGCGCCACGCAGCACCGCTCCACGGGACGCTGCTGCCTGGCATCAGCAATGCTCCAGCAGAACCCTGACCCGAAAGTAACGGAGCCCCTCCAGCCACCTTGCTATTGAGCTTCTAACCAGAAGGCTGCCGTTTCAGCATCGGTGCTCGTAGCCTCCTTTCGGGCTTCTCTGTTCAGGCAGCATAAACGATTTAATCGCAGCGTGGAACATCACACAGGCACCTTTTTGGAACAGGAAGCGTGCAAACATCACCCGCTCCCAGCAGGGGTTACCCAACCCCTCCAGCAGGTCAGACAAACAAGTTCTGCGTTGCACCAAAGGTACCTTTGGTCCGGGGTGGAGGAAACTGCACGCAATCCACCCCCACTGCCTCCATTCTGAGCGCTGAGCAGCCAGAGGCTCCTCGCCACTCGCTGCTCCTGCTCTGCACTGCACAGACAACACTGAACGCAGCCCTGCGCCGGGGCACGGTGACAAAACCCAACAGCATTCCCCCACCGCACCCCAAATCCTGCTGTTTCTACAACCATCGCCTTGCTCTCGTCCCCTTAGCACCCAGTGGGCTCAAAGCAGACATTCACAACAAGAGGATGGCGATGCACAGCAGGGAGAAGCCATGCGGGGACATCGCCTGCCCCCCTGGAAGGGACCCAAAGCTTCGGATGATCAGCAGGTGCTAACGGAGCCCCAGCAGCCCTGCAGGGAAGGGACTCTAACGATGATTTTAATGCAAGCTGGCAGTGGATCGCATTCCCCAGTGCTTAAGGACCACGAAGGAAGCTATGGGAGATGCTCAGCGCAGCACCCGGCACTGCTGCCCCAACCCCACAACGAGGACTTCACCTCGGATGGCTGACACTTGAAGTGTTTGTCTTTAGTAGGAAAAGGGAAACCAAACCAAACCCAACCCCCACGGTCACAGTGCCAAACCCAGCGCCTCCCCTTAGAGTTAACAGACCAAAACATCTCAGCCCCTTCCATTTTCTCATCACCCTCCTGCACCCCACTGACAGAACCTACAGTTTATTTGCTCTCAGCGCGCGACGCAGGGAAAGGAAGAGCTGAACAAGCACAGCTCTGAAGAATTACATTTTCATTACGTCCCAAAAACGTTAATAAAGAAAAAAAAACCAGCAAATCCTCCAGGATGCACCAGCCCAGCTGGGAAGGCTGCTCTGAAACGTGAGCCGCACCGGAGCCAGGCAGAGCTCCCTCTGAAACCCCAAACCAGCACGGCTCCGTTCCCAGGCACACGGTGAGGCCTCTTCCCTTCCCCTGCTGGCCTCAGGAGAAACCACTTTGTATTAAATAAGAACGGTGTGATTGTAATTAGGCGGTGTGGAAGCTGCCAAACGTCCCTGGGGTTTCTGTGGGACTCCCAGGGCTGCGTCCTTTGTCCTCCTGCAGTGCAGCACAACTGAATCCCACGGGGTACCCAGCACCAACGCTGTCAGCTCTGCTTTACTTCACTGCCTTCAGAGGCAGGACAGAAACGGGCTCCTGGTTACGTGCACCAAAGGAAGAAACAGGGAGAAAAGCAAAGCTCCCAGGGCTGCAGTCCATGGGCAGAGCAGTGACAACAGGTAGCAGGGCATGAAGGCACCGGCATCATCCCAGCGTGCACAGAACTGCTCAGCGTCCAGCGGCGCCCAATGTGAGCACAGAAAGCTCCATCCCCACGAGCTGCACCTTGGATACAAAGCTACACCTCCTTCCTTCCTTTTCCTTCCTTTTCCTTCCTTTTCCTTCCTTCTCCTTCCTTCTCCTTCCTTCCTTCTCCTTCCTTCTCCTTCCTTCCTTCTCCTTCCTTCCTTCCTTCTCCTTCCTTCCTTCTCCTTCCTTTTCCTTCCTTCTTTCCCCTCCACCAGCCACCCACAGCCAGGATTCATTCATCTGAGAAGTCGGGCGCTGAGGAATCAAACCCACACCACAGAGCCAAAGGAAGGCCTTGCAAGAACCTCACCGTGCTCCAAGCACCGCCTCTCCCGTCCTGCTGCTCCACTGCCCCAGGGATGGAGGTGTGATTTACGTCCCCTTTCATGTCCACTCAAACAAATTCACCTCTGTTTCAGCGCTTGGGTGACTCACAGAGATCCAGCTCACAAAGATCCAGCTCACAGAGCCCAAACATCAACAAAAGAAGCAACACAGCAGCAACAGCAGCACAAAGGACGGTGAGGAGCCCAGAGCAAAGCTCGGCGAGTTTTTATTTTTATAGGGCCCACTTCCTTCTGACCCATTTGATAATTGCCAGCAAAACAAATGTCTCCCCTGCAGATGCAAATAAAGATATGTGGAAAACATCTGGGAGCTGTAACAACACGGGGGAGCAGAGCGTGAGTTTCCATTCAGCTGAGGGGGCAAACAGAACCTAAACTGGCAGCAATCGTTATCTTGTTGGTATCTCCCCTGGAAAATTCTGAGGCTATTCCAGCTTCCAAATGCGTTCTGGTTAATTACCTTTGTTTAGGAAAGTCAGGGTGGCGTTGCAGCAGAATAGAATACAGGCAATGTTTCTGAACACAAGCTGGAAACGTCAGCCAAAGACAACAGCACGGCGCTGCTGATGCGTCCACAGAGCCTCGCGTTTCACAAACCAGCAATTCATACCCAACTCCTATAAAAGCCCCCCCCCCCCAAACCCGCCAGGGGTCAACAAACACATCCCCCAGGTTTAGAAATAAACCAGGAATTAGGAAACTTCCTCCAAAAGCTGCCAGGATTGGCTGCCATTTGCAACCGGCAGCAAACAACCGAATCCTTTGGCCGCTGCTCAAACGGGGTTTATTTAAACTTCCTCTGCACAGCCCAGCTCTCAAACTCAATTTGGGGGTTTATATTTAAACACCCTCCACACCCCCCAGCTCTGCCCCTTCCCCAACGCCAGGCTCCACAAACCCAATTCGCAGCTATTCGGGACGCTTCAAAAAGACACAAACCCAAACCAGGGCTGTCGGCTGCGCCTGTGGGCTCCCACCCAGTCCTGCACGGATGGACAGATCCCCAAATTCGGGCCATTTTTGAGGGCAGGGGGGGAGGGCACAGAAATACAGAACCCCCTCCCTCTCTATCTCCCCCTCCTGTCTCTCCCCCCATCCCCCTCCTTCTATCCCCCCCATCTCCCTCTCCCCATCTCTTCAATCCCCCCTCCCCACTTCCTATCCCCCCCCACCCTCCTCCTATCCCCCCCCCATATCACCCCCCCTCCTCCTATCCCCTCTATCCCCTTCCCCCCAATCCCCCCCTCTCCTCCCCCCCGCTCCCCTCAGGGCCTCCAGTACTCACCCACACCCCCTCCAGGCGCAGGCCGCCCACAGCACAGCACTCACAGCCTCCACCCCCAACCTCAAGAGGCCCAAATCCTTCCCTGCACCGTCAGCTGAAGACCCTCGCCCACATACTCCCGTATCCCCGGGCCCCGCCGGCCCCACCCCCCCCCCCCCACCGGACGCGCCGCTCCTCTCACTCGGCCGCCGCCATGTTGGAAGGCCGCCGCTCTGGGCCGCGCTCCGCCCCCGTTCCCTTGGCAACAAGCCACGCCCACCATTCCCTTGCAACAATCCCCGCCCCCTCGATGCTATTGGTCCCGCCGAGCACCCAAGAGCGGGGCGGGCACGTGGGAGAATTCAACCAATCGCAGGGAGGCTGAGCGAGATTGGCGTGGGCGCTGACCAATCACAGCGCGGAGGAAAATCCGCACGGCGCGGAGGAGAGCGGTAAGATGCCGGCCGTGTGAATTGCCGCTGCGATCGCGCTTTGCGCCCCGGTGCGGAGAGTTTTAGCTGTGTGTCTCCAGGAGGCTGGAGGACTGTCCATCCCACAGGATGTCGCTCTGCGCTGTACTTAGGACCGCAGCCTTGCTGCGCGGCTGCGGTGCGTACCGCCGGTCCCCGTCCTCTCTGAGCCGTCCCGCTGCCGCTGACCGCCCCTTTTTATCCCTACAGTCTTCGGGTCGCCGCCGACCGCCGCCATGGCTACGCTGAACCAGATGCACCGGAAGGGCCGGCCCAAGCCGCCGCCTCCCAAGCTGGGTCCCACCTTCGGCCGCCCGCAGCTGAAGGGGGTGGTGGTGAGGAACCTCATCCGCAAACCCAAGAAGCCGAACTCAGCCAACAGGAAATGCGTGCGGGTGCGGCTGAGCAACGGGCGGGAGGTGGTGTGCTTCGTGCCGGGCGAGGGCCACAACCTGCAGGAGCACCACGTGGTGCTGGTGCAGGGCGGCCGCACGCAGGACCTACCGGGGGTGAAGCTGACCATCGTACGGGGGAAGTACGACTGCGCCCACGTGCAGAAAAAGAAGTGAGCGCGGCCGAAGGATCACTGCTTATACGTTTATTAAAGAGCTGCGTTCCCTGAGCGCTACGAAGTGCTGTCCTCACTGGGGAGGGGACGGGGGGAAGGATCCTAGGCATGGGCGTGGCTCCACTTCCGCCGAATGGCTCCACTTCCGCCACGTGACCGCCCTCACTTCTGGAGGACTGTCCAAGATGGCGGCGCCCAGGGCGCTAGCAGCGGCGCGGCGCGCTGTGGCGGTAGCAGCACGCGGGCGGCGCTCAGCAGGCACCGGAGCCACTCCGCGGGGTCGGGCGGAGCGGAGCCGACTATACGAGCACGTGCGGGAGGGGCTGAGCGCGCGGCCGCAGCTCGATATGGCGGCGCTGAGTGCGCACCCGGCGGAGGCCGCGCGGGAACTGGAGCGGAGAAAAGGACCGCTGAGGGAGGGCGAGCTGCGTGAGATCGTGAGCGGGAGAGGCGGGGGGCGTGGCCTGTGGGTGTGGGCGGGGCTGGTGGAGACTTTTGGGGCGTGGCCTGTGTGGGGGTGGAGCTTTGGGCTAGTTAGGGGGCGTGGTCTGAGGGTGTGGAGGCTGCTGTGGCATTGGGGGCGTGGCCTGACTGCGGGCGGGGCTATGGAGACTTGAGGGTGTGGCCTATGGGTGTGGGCGGGGCTGGTGGAGCGTTGTGGACATGGCCTGTGGGGTGGGGCTGGTGGCTATTTGAGGGGCGTGGCCATTCCCCGTGGGCGGGGCTAGATGACCAATATGGGGGCGTGGCCTGTAGGCAGTGGGTGGTGCCTATGGCCTGCTGGGGGCGGGGCTTCGTGACAGTCCCCGCCCACAGCTGCAGACCTGGGCCCGCCTGGAGGAGGTGCGTGCGGCCATCGCCCGACTCGAGGCCGAGAAGGAGGAGGTGGCGCTGGCAGTGCACGCCCTGGTGGTGAGCCCCCCCCCCCTCCTTATGGCACTACGGTACTCTATGCTCCCCCCTGTCCCCCCATCTCACCCATTCTCCCCCCCCACAGACCACCCACGCCAAGGACACGCTGCATGCGGTGAGACCCCCGGGACGGTTGCTCTGGATTCCCCCCACATTGCTGGGGAGGTGATGTGGCCACCACGTGGTCTCCCATTCCTTCAGGTCCCCGAATACACGGCGCTGCGGGAACGGGGCCGTGCGGTGAGGCTGCAGCTGAGGGAACTGCTGGCAGAGGAGGCAGCGTTGGATGAACGCTTCTACCTGCATGCCTTGCAGCTGCCCAACAGCACCCACCCGGCAGTGGTGAGCAGGGGAACATGGGGAGGGGGGGATACTGCAGACGTCCTGATCAGCGCCCGCCTCCCTTCCTCCTGCAGCCTGTCGGTGATGAGAGCCAGGCCCGCGTGCTGGAGGTGGTGGGGGAGAAGCCAGGTAGGGGCGAGCTGGGGATGGGGATGGAGGGATGGGCAGCACAAAGTGGGGTGGATAACAGGAGGGTGGGGGTCCCACAGCTAGAAAGGCTCCGTCTGTCCCTGCAGCATTCAACTTCCAGCCTAAGGGCCACCTGGAGCTGGGTGAGGAGCTGGACATCATCCGCCAGCGGTGAGTCCCTCCCCAAACACAGGGCTCACTCACTGCAACGTCGCCTCCATCCCGGTGACGGCTGTGTCCCCGCAGGAGGCTGTCACACATCTCAGGTCACCGTTCCTATTACCTGTGTGGGGCAGGCGCGCTGCTGCAGCACGCCTTGGTGAACTTTGTGCTGGCCAAACTGGTGCCCAAGGTATGGAATCGAGTCCAGGGGAACCCTGTGACCCTCCTGCCACCCCGTGGGGCCTCGTGATCCCCCCCGGCCCCCTACATCTCTCACTGCACTGCAGGGCTTCCTGCCCATGACGGTCCCTGACCTGCTGCGCGGCGCCGTCTTTGTAAGTGCCACTCCGTCCCTGCACCGTCCCTGTTGTCCTCCTCACCACCAAATGACTTCCCTGTGTCCCCCCCCCCCCTTCCCCCAGGAGGGCTGTGGGATGCAGCCCAACATCACCCCATCTCCCGTGTACTGCATCGACCCGGCTCGCTTCGAGGACCTGTGCCTGGCTGGCACCTCCGAGGTGGGGATTGCAGGTGAAAAACAGGGCACAATTTCCAAAATGGGGGAAAAAACAGGAAACGGGACAAAGCTTGGGATAAACGGTTCAGAACGGGGCAAAATCAGGGTGAGGCTTATCAGGAAAGGTCATAATTAAGACAGAATGAGGTCAAAAATGTGTCCAGAACCCCTCAGTTGTCTCCTTTTCTCCTGCAGGTTACTTCATGGACCACGCGGTGCGGCTGCAGGACATGCCCATCAGGTACAGCAGCAGCACACTGCGGGGATGGGATGGAGGGCAGGGGGGTGGGGGGTGTTTGTGGGGGTCGCTTCTGATCATTCCTTGCTCCCCCCCCCCAATGCAGGATCGTCTGCTCCAGCACGTGTTACCGTGCAGAGACCGACACGGGCCGAGAGCCCTGGGGCCTTTATCGTGTGCACCAGTTCACCAAGGTGGGATGGGGGGAGCTGGGGGGGGGGGGGGGGGCATACAGGAAGGCAGCAGATGGGGAGGGGGCTTTCGGGACCACCCTGTACTCACAGGTGGAGATGTTTGGGGTGACGGCAGCAGAAAACGGGGCCGAGAGCGAGATGATGCTGGATGAATTCCTCACGCTGCAGAAGGAGATTTTTTCAGAGCTGGGGTTGCATTACCGGTCAGTTGGGGTGGAGGGGGGGCTCAGTTTGGATCCTGTCCCTCAAATCCAAATGGGGTCCCAATGGTGTGTCCCAATGGTGTCCCCATCTCCCTCCCCCCCCCCCCCCCCGCAGTGTCCTGGATATGCCCACACAGGAGCTGGGACTCCCAGCGTACCGCAAGTTTGACATCGAAGCCTGGATGCCAGGACGGGGCAAATATGGGGAGGTGAGAGCAGCCAAGGAGGGGGGCTGCACCCCCCTTCCCCTCCCATTGCTGAGACATGGGGTCCCCGTGGCTGTTTGGGGTGGGGGGGTCTCTATGTTCTCTATGTTGCCTCTCCCCTCCCCCAAGATCTCCAGCACCTCCAACTGCACCGATTACCAAAGCCGGCGGCTGAACATCATGTACAGCGATGGGGCTGGGAAGCTGCACCACGCACACACGGTGGGTGCTGAGCCCCCCTGCACCCTGGGGGGGATGAGGGGGATGGGGGGGGGGGG